CGTCGATGGTATGATTCACTTCAACGGTCTTTGTCAAAAAGTTACTTTTAATGAGCGTATTATCAAAGTTCCTATTCTTACCGCTGGAGGCTTGGATAGAGATTATGGAGTGCCCATCTCCCTCCCTCCCCTCCTCACCAACCCATTTTCACCGTGTTGTTTCGGCACCGAACCTATGATGTGTAATCCGTAGTCTTCTATGAGCGGCACTTCCAACGTCAGTTATACGTGGTAGTTCAGCAGCTTCAATGCAGCATCCGGGTTAGGATAGCGCATGCTAATGAAGCTCGCGCAGTATTGCTAAGACCGACGTCATAGTCGGCGACGGACCAAGCGATGGAGCGATCGCGATCGCTCCATCGCTTGTCCGTCGCTTGCCAATCGCTCTCTCGAGCGATTGGCAAGCGATTGCGCAATGTGCACAAGCGACGGGCGATTGGCCCCGCCCCCAGTCAATGCAGTCGGCTGCGGTATCGATCGAGCGGAGCACATCATCGAACTTTTCCTCGCACAGAGGCGACGTTAAGGAAAGTTCTATTGCGAAATACTCCATAGATGTTCGTCGGTGAACAGACGCAAGCCCTCCTTTCACTGCTCCCGCCGATCTTCGAAGGTATGACGGTCATCTGCGTCACCATCGAGCTTCAACCGAGGAATTACCGTAATCGTCCGCGACCGCAGAGCACGAGCTTGGACTACGCAAAGCGCTTTTGACATGCCGTTTCGATGACGTCGCGTAATTCGGCTTTTTGGTTATTCTCGTAAGCCTCTGAGCGGCGCGAGACCGTGCACAATGCTTCTGTGGGAAAATCTTCTGATGTCGTCGGTGTAGAAGGCTGTTGTGTAGCATTTTGATAGATTATAACGTGCTCTTCTAATATTCAGTTGGGGTCATTTGATTTGGTCTCGCAACGCGTAAATAATTCCGTTTTGAATGTGGAGTGAAGTGTCTCTTTTTTTGGCCACCCCGGGATATTGGTCCAAAACAAAGGCATAAATACACTCGTGTATCGAGAAGCAATGAAATGCAGGAAGGGGTCGTAAAAACTCCATTGGCACAACGGACGGTCGCTCATGGTCCCAAACGTTCACTAGTGGACCTGTAGGATCTATGATTGCTAACGAAAGTTGCTTTGCGCTGCACGCAATCTCCCTTTTGGTACTCACTTTCTCGCGAATCCATTAGCCGATCGCGATAACTTTCCCCGATCCCACCCATGCTGCAGCGTTACAAGAGAACTGGCGCACGAAATATCACCAAAATTAATACTGATACCTGAGCACTTCGAAGAGTTTATGGTATTTTTTCTGGAGCACCGTAAACTTTTCAAGCCCCCCATGTTTCAGTATCCTTTTCGTGATATCTTGTGCGCCAGTTCCCTTGTAACGCAGCTTGGGTAGGCTCGGTGAAAGTTATCGCGATGGGTTAATGGATTCGCGAGAAAGTGAGTACCAAAAGGGAGATTGTGTGCAGCGCAAATTAACTTTCATTAGCATTCATAGCTCCTGGAGGTCCCTTAGTGGTCATATGGGACCAGGAACCGTCCGTTGTGCTGATTTCGAAGTTTCACGACCCCCTCCCAACTCCAGTGGCTATTGATCTCCCTCACTTTTGTTTGTGTGTATTTATACATTTCTTTCAATACCAGTGGTTTTCATATGTCATGCTCGCGGTGCGCTTCCCGTCAGAGTGCGCCATTTGTTTGTCAGACGTCTGAAAAGGATGCGGCAAAGACTTTTACTCTCAAGCAGGCGTAACTCATTCACTTGGCAAAGCTGTACAAATTGTGAAACTGTACCATATGCATTCGGTAATAACCTCCCCTTCAAAAAGCGAGAAAGTGTCGGGTGCAGACCAAACACCACAACTGACGACGGCCTCCAAGTAAATCTGGTTAGAAGTTGTTCATAGTGATAGCTGATTTCTGGTAAATGATAGTTGTAATTAGTGACAATCGATAGAATACAACTGCAACAGGCTAATCATTTCATTGGCAGAAAACATTAACATTTTGTGAAGGCCGTCGTCACTTGTGGTGCATGGTCTGCACCCGACACTTTCTCGCTTTTTGAAGGGAGGGATAGTAGACTGGTTTCTCGCTGCCGAAAATTCTTAATTCGAAACATTTTTGCTATGTGGCAAGAATTCGCTATTACAGTCTGCTAGAAGTCGATCCGCTTGAGCCTTCCCTGGATTTTGTCCTTTATTGATTTGGTCCATGCATTGGATTTTTCTCTTTAACAGCATCGTTGCTGCTCACGCTGACTGAAGGTGATTGCGTTGTGCAGTGAGAACCCGATCAGATGCCATGCAGCTCGTCGTAGTTACAATATGTCTGTTAATTGACCATTTAGAAGTCCACTTTCTGTCTCTGTTAATATAGATTTTGGCAGCTGAGTTCCCTGTTTTGGTGATTTCCGTCCGACTTCAACGGCCAAATAACGCTCGCTTTCGTTGAGGCTTGTGCTATAGACCTAGTCTGGAATCTCTTCTGGAAGGTCATATCCGTAATTCCAGACGTTCTACCTCGTTTTATTTGGGACAGATTAAAGCAAACGGGATCATAGAGCTTCATATTTTCGTTACCGTCTATCCCTTTCGGGGAATTTCTTTCATTAGCCGTTCCAGTTCATAAGATTTTGCGAGATAGCTTCCATCTTTACTCAGGCCGATGGAAGTTGTTCGCTTCTCTGTGTCATATGTGAGCGAACTTCGGAAGTTTTAGGGCAATATAGAACTTAATATTGGTTGGGACAATAGTGACGCGAGAGAAACACACAATTCGATATACACGCTAAGTAATTCTAACCTAGACTCGGAGTCTCGCTTTATCTGAAGCAAAATACGGGAGAAGGGATAAAATCGTCGTTGAATCGGTGGCTCTGAGGAACTTTATAAGAGACATCCGAGTATCCGCAGCGATTGCCAGTGAAATGGAGGGCACAGTTGGATTATAGTTAAATCCCAAAGGAACCTCGGACCATATTACTCTTGACATTTTAGGTAAAGCTGGCCCCATGATCACGGGTGAGATTAGTCAGGGCAGAAGGAGAAGCACAGGTTCAGCACATTCCTTTGGCCCCGTTGATCTTTGGGAAGGTAGAACAATCTTTCAAAGGAGCATAGATCCTAACCGGTTTCCGTTTGGTGATCGTAGACAAAGTGTTTCATAGAGGGACATCTCTCCGGCATCCTTTCACGGTAGCAGCAGAGGAACGTTGCAAACATCCATTTAAGAGTCTTTCCAAAAAGCAGGTCTTCTATAGTCTCAAATCCGCCGGAAAAGCAGTTTTGACCACATTGTTCAGCTGGGGGGGGGGAGAGGCGAATCCGTGGAGATTTCACATACTCGTGCTCGCCCTTTTCTCATGTGACGCAGGTTCTTGGTTGTGATGACTCTGGATCTTTTAGAAACCTCGAGCGAAATCAGTGGTGGGCTCAGGGATCATTCTACCTCGCCTAATATTAGGCAGGGGTAGAATTACCAGCAATGGTGCTTTGTGATTAGTCACTCTCTTCAATACTACTCGAAGTTATAGACTTATTTATTTATTTGAATGCATAAAAGCGTTATGCAATGTTTCACGAGCCAAAGATGGTAAAACAGGTACAGTCACCCTTTCAGGTTACTCGAGTGTTAGGCAGGTGACCGGCTCAGAACTTGACGTTGGTTTACCCATATGAGGCTTGTCCTAACAAACCCTGCAAGCGTTGTTAGGCGCTTCATGGCGCACTTTTGCGCACTTGGAGTCAACACGTGTTGTTACTTTAGGTAAAGCTTTGGCCGTCTGACATTAGTAGCCTCCATGTCGCAAGTACTGCAATTGTTTTGTACTGTACGCCACAACGAGGTTTTTAAGATGGAATCTAGGAATCTTTATTTACTGGCCTTACGTTTCGACCGCTTCGTCTTCTTCAGAGGCCTGGAGATTGTCCAAGATTCCACCGATGCGGAGCAGTAGCTCACGCCCTGTGTTAGTTGACGTCAATGAAGAAGACGAAGCGGTCGAAACGTAAAGGCCAGTAAATAAGATTTCGTAAACTTCGTATAATGTATAAAAGGATAAAGCATTTGCCGTTGATCAATCCCTTTTTGGGATGCGGCACGCATTCTACTTCCATTTGTACATTCGTAGTGGCGTTTGAATGCGATGTGGCCTATACAATGACTTGCGGGGGCCAGCCGATGTACAAGTCAGTGTTTTTATCCTCCCAGACAAGTCTGGTACCAATTAACCGACCCCGGAGGGATGGAAGGCTTGGTTGGCCCGGGCGACTCACGACCCAGGATTTGATCCCCGGACCGCTCGCGTGGTAAGCGTGCCACTTGCCACTACACCACTTCCGCCCTTGTTTACACTTGCCTCAGATATATCCCAAAAAATTGAATGAGTGTAGAACTGTCTTGGTAACGGTTTGGGTGAGAAGTTTTGCCTGAAAGTGAGACTTGGATTTGGAAGCATGAATTCTCTAGATCTTGACGCTGCCCGCGCCGCTGCCCTTGACATCTCGCCCTTTCGCCCAATTCCGGTATCATCCTGTATCAGTTGTTCATTCCTAGGTGTTCTCGGGTTGCGATTTAGCGATGGAACGTTGCCTGTTCTTGAAATACAGCTTGGCCACGGTTCGGCGCGTTTTTCGGGTATTGGGTATGGCCTTGAGAGAGTGTGCGACATGAGCGGAAAAACGAGATAGTATTGCATAAGAGCCGCACGATGGCGCCGAGTTAACGTGGACGTTGTAGAGGAATCAGATTCGATGCCTGCGAGGCGTGTATCATTCTGAGGAGGGCGTCGACACAACGAGAACGGAGGTGGCCGGTGCTTCCTGGCACAACGAATATCTTTCGACGGTACCGTCACCAACATCACTGCACACACTGAGTTCCTAAAATTGGCAGCGGCATCGCTTTCGTCGCCGTAGCCACCGCCAGCAACCAGCCACTGTCGCAGATCGTCGCGAAGTTCGCACCTCGTAAGGACATCCGTAAGCCGCCGCCATGATGCCCAAATCCACTCGATCTCCCGGATCCGTTCTACGGGAACGTACTCGCTTGATACTCGACTGGGACAAGGTGAGACCTTTTGATTGTCCAGGACTTTGAGACTTCTGATGACACCAAATTATGCTCCATAAGAGTTTTCAGCCGTCCACTCGCCATCATCCCTACCGTATGCGTCGCCTCAGTTGCGGATCCACTTGCTCTTCGGACAGTTCCCAGCCGAGTCCCAGTTCTGTGAGGTAAGACATGGCTATAGTTTTACATAGACTATAGTTAGCATAGAAGGTCCTCATTCCAGCTCCCTACCCGATTCTCCACATCCGGCTATGCGAACTGCTCGAGATATTCAGGTCTTTGAGAGACTTCGCCGATTCGTGCCCACAATTAGCTCCGAGCGAAATGCATTCAGGGTAAGATCCGGATTTACTCGCTTTTCATAAGTTCAACCTTCTGGGTAAGAGTTTCTCAGGAAAACGGGCCAGACTTTTCTTTCGAAATATTCCTTTGTCTCAAAAGCGTGGCTATGGTTTTATGGTTCCTGTAACCTTACGTATAGATCCCTTCCGAACGAGGCCAATAGGCCTTTAAGTCCTCTTATGCCATGTCAACGTCAAGGCTTATTTTTCACAGTGACCTTCGCTGGGATCGAAACCTGAGAATCAGAATCTTTATTGATCGGGATTCAATTTTTTCTGGGTACAAAAGGCCAAAACTGTCGTTTACCCCTTCCTCCCCCCTCCCAATAGCTATAGGCGCGAACTCGAATTCCATGGGAAGAAATTTTTCAAATACATCAAAAACTATAGACTGCCGTCTTTGGAGTGCTATCCATAGAATTCCAAAGCCTCCGAACGGCTCTAAAATCGATGCAAAATCCGGAAATTCTACGAAAACTTGGGTAAGATATGTAGAAGTGGAGTTCGACCTTCTTCCAGCGATTCCTTTACCCAGGCATTTTTTCTTCCCCGTCGTGACTTTGGACGCGCCCTTTGTAGGGAGGTGGGGGGAGGGGTGATTTTGGCCCGGGAATCGCTTTTGAGCAGCTGTTTTCTCTAAAGCGCGATCGTCGTCATCGATGGTCATTCCATATGATTAGTAACTGCGCGAATGGCACAGGGTGGTACCGCTTTTTCGAAGTCGGAAAACCGGTTTTTTTCTCGGGGGGAGACCGACGAAAGAAAAGATTCCAGTTGCTGCAACAGTGTGGAAATTAATGAGCCCAGAAAACACATCGCACTTTTCAACTTTGAATCTATGGTGATCCCTAATTCACAGATTTCTTTGAGGGTCATATAAGGGCAGTGGTGCTTTGTGAGGTATGAGGCCAAGATCTACGTAAAAAGTCCTCATTTCCAGATTCTGGTAGACTATGTGTCACAAGTAATGGAACTGGAACAACGTCTTGAAGAAGCCGAGGAAAAAATGGATGTAAAACCACCACTTTTGAATCCGGCCATGGCAACTTGGACCACCTGTGGTTACATGAGTAATCGCCAGATGTCGAGCGCACATAACCCAGAGGTAAGAACTTCCCCAGAAGGTTTGGTAGTGGTGAAGAAAAAACGAGTAAAAGGGAGGAAATGAAGTGGTTGTGTGAGTAAAAGGGAGTAAATGGAAGGTGTTGTAATCAAAATGGAGTAATGAAGGTTTAGCGTCAATTTTAGAATTTGTATTTGACTCCATGGGCAGTTTAAGGCTTGATTTATGGATGCCTTGTCGCTCCCCGGTCGTTCGTTGCCTTGTTGCTTTTTGCCCCTACAGTATAGATTTGGTTCCGGTGAAAACTGAATGACATGACTCTCACGACGATTTATCAGGCATCATCCCCAATCAATTTGTCGTAGAATTTCGGCGCAAAGACGGACGCATGGCTCATCTCGCTAACACTGTAGTGATAAAGATGTTCTTTGCGGTATTCAAAGCAGGGGCGACCCTTCGTTTCCAGTGTTCCAACGGGGGAACATATTTCCGATGTTCGTAGGGGTTGTATTTCGGGTTAAGCGGGGCGAATCATCTTTGGAAATGTGCCAACGCGACGGTTGACCATGACTGAAAAGATTGCGCGTCATTTCTCCATCAAGGGTTTTTCGTTTTTGAACAAATTTTTCGAAACGCTCAAGTCCCACTGAAGCTGTTCAAAATCTTCAGAGAACATGAATTCTGAACTTCTGCAATAAGCACAATTTGTAAAGGATAAACGCTAGTTTGCTTCCTCTGGGATGCGCCACGCATTTGTGCAGTTCAGAAAGTAGCCACCATTGGAGGCCTGCTCGCCTATGTGATGATTAGCGCAGGCCCACCACCATTCTTCTTTCTGTGATTCTTCCCCTAGTCTATGACAATTTTGTCGAATCTAGAGGGTGGTAGGGGAGTTCATTCATTAGTCACCAATTTTTGAGCAACGTCTCTTAACTGAGTCACCTAAAAGTCACCCGAATAACTCAAAAAAGTCACCCCAATGATTTTATCGGTAGACCGATTCCTGAACTTTTTTGAGAGGTGCTTCCCGCCTCTGGGTCCCATTTAGAACCGTAAGAGCTTTCGAATGCGCGTTTCACCTACACAAGGTTTGCGGGCGTCAGCCGATGCATGAATATCAGGGTTTCTACTCTCTCTAACGAGTCTGGGTAGCGTTTTACTGAAACCATCCTTGAACAGAAGAGCAAAAGCCAAAAGCAAAGAAAAAACTTGAAAAAATTCGCTGACGATGAGAAAATCTCAGCGGTTTCTGCACGACCTTTCTCCTTTCAGCTCTCTTACTTCCATGTATGACGTCATCACAGGAAATCCTGTCGAGATGGCAATACTGTAGATTTAATGACTGAGAAAGCAGGTGGCGCCTTTTTTCTGCCAGTAGAATTACCCAACAGAAGCAGTTTTGAGCGGATTTTTTGCGCCTGACTCGAAATCAGCTGCAGGAGGTGTAGTGGCGCGCGCATGGTACGGCCAGGTAACCTTGAACAGCAGCGCGGCTACGAATCCGAATTGAAATCTGCTGTCTTCACCCTCCACTTCACTGCTCCTCTCCTCCTCGTGCTAGCCGATGGTCGCGACATGGAACCGTTTACAGCACAAACAACAACAACAATGAGTAAACAGTTGCGATACGTCGAAGGGAAACTGAGTACGAAAACTGCGTTCGGGTGGATTGCCAACGGCCGAGGCCGCGTCGTACAACCGGTTCACATGGGAATCTTGTGACCATAACTGGGTTATTACGTCACAAATCGCATCTTCTTCTCCAAACGAATTAAACTGTATTGGTTAGCATGTTAGTGTCCCATATGGATCAAATTCAGGGGTAAACATATTGTTGATGATTGCGCCACGCACTTTACAAGCATCCACATTTCTGCTGGGTTTCTGTGAGATGACTCTTGGGGTCAGGCAGAGTTTCATTACAACACATATATTTGTCACTTCATTGTAATAGATATCGTATAAAAAAAATTAAAATCGCGTGGAATGATCAGGACGAATCGCCACCTCTTGCGGCCCCTTAATAACTTCAAATAATCACCTTTGTCAATACAAAGGCGCATTATAATGATGTCATTAATTTGCCTCATTAACAATATTACAATTACAACTTATGCAGCATGCAAAAGTAAGATGAGTCCAAGAGAAACCTGGCAAAAAAAGCCATAAAACAGCCATAGATGGGAGAAAGCCAAACAAATAAATCGCGACAACGCGAGACGCAGACAGTGACACGAAGGTAGGTTACGTGTATGATTGCTTGCAGTTGCCACGGTGCAGGTTTCTATTGTTCCTAAAGCGCCACAATTGTAATGCGCTTTTGCGAAATTGGCTTAATTGTACAGCTGCAAACCCCCCAACAGCATATTTGCAAGAATTGGATCACAGAACGCATTGATCAGTCTAAGTGGGACTTAATCGCCTTGTATGCACCACACGCAAAAACCCGACTTAGACGCACTTCTTGCGGCTCAAATTCTCTTTATAAATCTTACCCACCACCCCGGGGGGCCGTGATAGTCATCAATTCACGGTATATTACCATGTGAGCAGAGCGCTAGGTAGCATTTCCAAGTTTGTGTATGCCGTCAGCATTCGCGCACATCCACAGTCACAATGACAATATGGAGAAATCAGGTGAGGATGAGCGAAGAAATGACGAAACTAATAAGCCGACATATGTTTTGAAATAATACTCGGCCGCTTATGGCTAAAACACGTACATGTCTGGAAGCCAGAGAGCAATGCGCGCGGTGCAGACCACACACCACAATTGCGTACGGTCTCCTGTTACTAGTGCATGTACGACATCTGAGTAGTTGAAGCATTAGTTGTAGTTAGGTGGCGGCTGGATAGAATGCAACTGCAACCGGCTAATCATTGCATGAGCAGAAAACATTTACATTTTGTTCAGCCGTCGTCACTTGTGGAATGTGGTCTGCACTCGACGCGCGTCCGATTTTTGGAAGCAGAGGGTATTTAAAACTGCGTCAAACATCCCTCTCTTTGTTATAAACAAAACTAGGTCTTATGGCTAGGCGGAGAGGAATACACTGCAGGGCGCAAGAAATTCTTATTTTCCTTGCAGTTCCTGCCTCCTTCTCGGCACCATCCTGTGGGATGCCCCCTTATAATGCCATAGCGGCTTGGAATGATATCTGGGAAGCTTAGGTGATGGATAATATTTGAGAAAACCTGCTGACATTTTTGAACTGGGTTACAAAATTGAATCGACGATTTTATCTCGAAAGGTGCTTCTGAACAAGAAAAGGGTCTGAAGATCTTTTATCGTTGGTAGGACTGATTACTGTACTTTCAGATGTTTCCCGATGATCTCGCCGGTGTTGATGTGAGCGCCTTCAAGCATTTGATCTGCTCGCAACCTCTTCGTATCGATGCCAGCTTATTTCAATAATATCACTGGATACAAAGCATTTTTTACATAGATATCAATTCTCTCTTCTCAAATTACTGTGTGTGTATGTGGCGGTGTTCCCTTGCCGTTATCCCCACGTAGATCTCCGTCATAGATCTTTATCCATAAGCATTACTATATCGGCTATTCCCAGTGTGTAAACTAAGCTAATCATCATTCGCTTGCCTTTGGAACATAATATAAATAGATACAGCATGAAATCTCTCATGACCTCAATCTATTGCTAGCTATCGGGTTTTCGAGCATTTTAATTGTTCGTTGTGATGAGGCGTGTATTCGAGAATAAACTCGAGAAGTTAATACTTCTTTGATTTTTTCACCGTGTTATCTAGGGTCTATATAACTAATGAGTTTCGAATCGGACGGTGTTGTAGGGGCAGGTGGTGCCATTCAAAGCAACACCCCAGATCGATTTGGTGGCAAAAGAGGTCGATAATAAAACTGTGGATGCTGAGTTGGCCACAAATGGAAAAAGAATAAGAAAACCGCCGATAAAGCCCGTGAACAAAGTTCCCCTCTTCTTCCTTGAGCAATAAGGAGAGGGTGTGGCTGGACGAGCTGTCCGAACTAGCTGCTTCGCCGGCATTTATTGCAGGCTCGTGCCCTCTTCCATGCTAGCAAGTGGCGAATACCCCACAAAAAACAAGCGAAAAGTTCTTCACGTGTTCGCACGACGATTCAATCCCTTACAGCGGCTTTCCAAGGTGGTTTTTTTTTCGGCATGATACAAGGGCTCACGCATCTTGTCTTTCCATCAGTAGCCAAAATATGAACCCATCTGGAGGTGTTTGCTTTGAATCTGATTGGTCCGGAGGTAAAATTCCGGCTCGAACCTTCCCAGACTTACTAAACCCTCCATCCCGAGGTTTAACCGCTAGCGAACCTATATGGAATGATAAAACACTGATTTGGACGTAAGTGAATAAGAATGCGCGCACATCTCGCAGAAAAGGAAATATGACTGACGTTCAATACACTTCATGAAAACAGTAATTTTTGGGCGCCTATCGACAAACGGACGGGGCATGCTCTTGAACTTTGTAATATAGTTGTACCGGTTCTGGTAAGGGCAGGGCTCTAGGGAGAATGAAAATTGCTCACACACCCTGGAGTCTCTCCTCCCCGGCCTAATCCTTATTAAAGGTCTCGGTTTTGACAAAAGGAGATGTTTTAAATGGCTCCAAATGCATTGTCACCCAGTGCCCTCGTACAATGCGAAAGCATCCTACTTTGTTTTTTGATATGAGACTTTCTATGAATTTTGATGTTCGTACCCTGACAATGCCACTTTGCGAGCGCACATGGTACAGGCCATGGTAAATCATGTGTGGTGAATGAATCCCTCAGATATGGATCCCGCACATTACCTTGCGATCTCCATATGCCCTCCCATACTCCTTCATCTTATCTCACACTGATCTAATTTTGTTTGAAAGTATCAGGGAGAGTGCTGTAAGGGTGGGCTTAACACGAATTGGACGGTAGCAAAGTACCCTTAACTCTCGCAATCAGAAGTAACGATCGGAGATTCTAAGCAAAGAATAAAGAATGGAGAGTGCGATCCAGCCCAGATCAAGCAAGAGCTTCCTACTTTAGATTTCAGACGACAAAATATCAGGAAACGAATAAATAAGAAAAAAAAAGGTTGCAAAAGTACCTGAAGATTATGGATCGCAGCTGCATTCTTTGATTCCTAACAGGTTGAGCTGGTCAGAGAAGAAAAAAGAGCACGGGATTGAAGAGGCGCAGTCACCACGTCTGACACGTATGACCCTCCAGTAAAAAGTCCTTCGGAGTACTTTTTACTCGTGGGTCAACGTGGCGTCTGCGCCTCCTCGACCTCACACTATTTCTTTTCTCTGCCTAATTACGAATTAGGTTTACAAGTTAACTCTCTAACTACTAATTAAAATGGTTTTTTTGGTTATGATCTAACTGTAGGTTAAACAAGACTTAATGTGTTGAGAAGCGCTCTGAACCTGTTATCTAAACTGACTTTGGTCTGAGCTAATCTCGACACGTTAAGTCTGAATTAATGAAGGTTTGCTACCGTCCCAGGTGTTAAGAAACCTCTAGGCTCCCGGTATTTTCCAACCCGCAAACTATTTCGCGACTTGCTCCTTACATTCGGCAGCTATTCAGACTTGTTGCAGCATTTGAATGCAAAGGGTGCGTGCAGCAATGAGAATAAGAAAGACTTCGAAATTCCCGCAAATTTCCTGAAATTTCCGAAACTTAGGGGATGTTCTTCAGAGAATCTAGAGAATCTTCATGTGAAGCCTTTTTTCCTGCCTTGACCCCACTCTCATCTCAAAAGTGCAATGCCGCATTTCACGCGATACCCCCTACACATCTACAGCAAGTCAAATGCGAGCCTCCCGCCATCGAGGAATTCCAATCTACCCTTTTAGAGGGCAATAAGAGCGCAACACATCCATGGCACAGACAGATCGCGGCTTTGTCCGAAACCCCGCGGCGCACTGTGATCACTATTCGAAAAGTGCTCTAGCCAGCGTTACCGATATTTCGCAGTGTTACCAAGCCTATCCCCAGAAATGGAGTACGTGATCTCCATTTCTGGGGTAGGTTTGGTAACACTGCGGTGAAAAATGGCTAAAATGAATATTCCCTGCTAAAACATTTGCTTGAAGTTACGATTCGAGATCGGACTGTGGGCAAGATGTATGTATTACGTTGAGTCAAAAGTAAGTGCCGATTTGACTTCGATTGTCAAGAATCCACAATTTTCTTAGGAATCATCTTTATCAGGTGCCATATCAACCATAGCTGCGTACAGCTGTCCTCCACCTATACGCAAGTGCATGATACCTCTCTCTCTCAGTATCACCCCGTCCTGAACGCAAAGAATAACTGGACATCCGTTTCGAAGTGGTCGCAATCATCCACAAAAGGTTGGAGTCCTGCGTGGAGGTGAAGGGCGATCTGAGAAACCTTCCTTCAGAACTTAGAACTGTTCTATATCAGTGTTGTGGTACTGGCCTAACGGGACGCCGATCCCCCTAGGCATCGGTTTAGTGATAATTCGACAAGACTTGTGCTTTTATTACTGGGAAGAAAAGTCTTCTAGAAAAGGTTTTTTGAAGAGCAACTCTGCTGGCAGAGGGGGCGTGTTTGCTAGCAGAGCTCTTTTCCAGGTGAATATGCGAGTAATCAACGCTGCGATATTCCAAAAAGCACGTGGTCTGTCTAACGGTGGTCTCAGCAAAACCCTTACATTCTAGGGCTCTGAAGAAAGCGAGAAGGCCGAAACGTTAGCCAAATAAAGCTCTATATCATCTGGCCTGTGGCTTCAGAGGCAAACCTTTAAAAAACTTCAAAAAGCGCTTTTTACAGTACTCATCCCGAACAAAGAGCATGCGCGCTCAAGTCGTTCTTATATTCCTTCGCACCCCCCCCCTAAAGGGTTGATCTTTTCGCTAGGCTAAAGAGGGGCTCACAGCACGGATCACGCTCAAAAGACTGTCTCTACGGGAACCACGATCTAGATCACTACGCGAACCTAAAGGAAGATTCCACGACAAGGTCGAAAGTCAAAGAAGGGGAAATTACGTAGTGGAGAACCTCCTAAAGGTCAGACTAGAGCGCGAATTCGCATCAGAGGATATGCCCCGGCGATTTAGCGCTATTGGCGCAGGACGCTCCCACTCGCGTCGTCTCGTGTCTGGGACGACGCGAGGGGGGGGGCGCTCTTACTGCTAAACTTCTCTACCCGTTTAACACAGAGAGCATCAGCGTTGAAGAGGGCAGCAACGATGAGAGTCGCATCAATGCGCAAATCAACGGGCAAGGAAGGGGTCCCATTTCTCGGTTCTGGCCATTTCTCGGTTTTTCTTCTTTCGTGCATCACTGACCATCTCTAACTTAACCTCCAATGGGCTGCCTTCCATCGGAAAACCCTTCAAGTGAGCTTAATGTCTTTTGATGGTTCATCAGCTAACCATAAGATCAAAGGTTTCCTGGGCACCTCGCACAGTAGCTAGAATTGGGCCCATCAACGTGGTCTAATGTTACTGAGGAGTAATCAAAGGTTAAATTGTTATATATTCTGATCATGGTTACTATTCTATGCAACTATGGCAAAGAGCGCAACTTAGTTCGGAACAGCAAGCCCATATCTGTTCGTAACACCTTCCAAATATGCGCCAGTTAAAGTCCAAATGCATGGCGCATAGAAAAGACACGAAAGAGCGAAAATTGTGCCTTGAAAGAAGGCATCATGCCTCGTTCTGGTCAGATTCGCGGTTCTATCCTTGATCGTGGGAGTATAAAATGTGCCCCGCCTTCCCCTTCTCCGACAACTTCACTTCACGTGAGATGGGTTGGTGCAGGTGTCTGTACGTCCTCCCAGATACGGGCAGGCTCGTAGACGGGTTATCTTCAACGCATCAACCGGATAGTTTCTGACAGAGTTCCTTTACTGCTTTCAGGTCAAGGCAGAAGTTAATGGATCAAAAAAACTCAAAAAAAAATGTTCGAATAGACTCCTCCGTCATACATTTTCTTCACCGTATATCGAAGTAAACTTTATATGTATGTACATATAGCACCCGTTCTTTATGTTTTTACTATGTCTGACTAGGACTGCTGCCCCGTCTGCTGAGCGCTTTTAAACGGATTTGTGGAGGTTTCTCTCCCCTATCCGGCATGCAAACCAAGAAAGAGAATAAAATTTGGCGTAAGATTACGGTAATCGCCGATAGTACGCAAAGACACGACCCCGCTAGGTGAGTGCCTTGCATTTACGGTTGCCGTGTTGTCCATGTTTACATTTCTGTTGTTTTTTTTTCTTTCACAAGAGTAACATGTAACGGGGGTGTTAAATGGGTTGGAGGGAGACGCGGCGGCGCGGCGTCTGCGAAGCGCAATGGCGCTGAAATGAACCTGGAAGGAGCTCGTGTGCCAAAAGTTGGATTTTGCAAAATCACAAATCACAATGTTTGCAGCCTACTACTTCTACT